TCTCTTTTACCCCGTTTCTAGTGCAGCGCAGTTAGCCAGGTCCTGCGACTCAAAGAATATCTTCTCCCAAAACTACCTACAAGACAAAAACCATAGCATACATTAGAGAACTCATGTGCAAGTTTTCCATAGTAACCATGTGAACTTTCTCTCACACTCCCTTGAAAAACCCCAACAAGGATTTCTCCCTTTCTCATTAAACCTCATGTTTCTCTTTTTAGCTCTCTTTCAGCTTTCTCCAAAAGAAATCAAGCTCAATGAGATGACAAAAAGACTATTCAAAGTCTTATGGGATAGCTTAAAAAAAAGCTTCAAAAAATCCATAAAACTATAATTCAGCATCAAAGATCGAATAATACAATTCGAAGGATCAATCCAGTATTATGTTCAGAATTGACCTATTAGACTGATACGATCATATGTAATAAATGAGGTAGTCGTATAGTATGATAAGCAATTTTTATTTTTAGTGATGTACGATCACCGGGTACGAATAAACAATCATATAGTACTGATTACTTTATCAGAAAGGCAGTTCATTTCATGCACGAATCACGGAATGACCACAAATCATCTCTTTTGATATACAAATATGATACATATCTTATTTTCTTTTACATTTTTGCATTTTTCATTTATTTATTTGAATTACTCATGGAATTCTCCATTGTTAATTTAAAACTTACAATTAAGTTAGTTTTTTTCTTTGCCTAAAAGGAAATTTCTTATCTTGATTGATATATTGTGCCAAAAAAAAATATATTTAAACTCAGGATATGCTCCCCATTTGTTTACAGTTAATTAACTGTAGATTTTCTTTTAAACTTTTTCTACAATAACAATAATTATTATATTGCAATATTTTTTAAAGTACCAATTCACGACACATCTTGGTCGCCTAGAAAAATTCATTGAGGTCTTATTAAGCCTCCCCAAACTTTCATTGCCATAACATAGAAAAGGGCTTTCCAATGATGGCATCTCACATTCAAATTTAATATAGCAAAATTACATCATCATCAACCCTATCCAAGTCTGTCACCATGACCCCCACAAAGGGAAGGAGAAAGACTCATCAAGCAATCAGATTGATCCAAACCAAGGATCCTCCAAATTCAACACCAATGAAGATTTCAGTGCCTTATTAGGATAATAGAAATCACAAGATCAACTAAAGGTACTGTTTTCATTCAAAACCCATAATATCAACAAGGGCAATGTTGAGTGAAGGAAGGAAGAAGCCACCATGCTAACAAACACACAAATATGATTCATCACATCCCAAATTCAATTATGAGACAAACCAAGTAAGTATTTACCATAATATCTCACCGAGCCAACCTGCTGACAATGCCACAGCAAGCCTGTTGAATTGAAACAAGGCCACATCCACAATAGGAAAGCTCACGTACTATCTGCAGACTTAACAATAGGGTAAAATTAAGTCTATTCTACCTTAAAAAAAAACATTATTACAAACGCTTAATCTCTAATATGGAGCATGAATAGTGAAGATCCACCTGGGGCACTAAAGGGAACGTAAACTCAACGCCTCATATGACGAGGGCGTTATTACCAACATTTAGAGGTTGAGTTAAACAACCCATTTCAACAGCAAAAACCTCCACACTGTCTTTAGTGCAAAACCAAATCAAAGCCAACTTCATATATTCATGAAAACAACTAGGAGGGTGAATAACCGCTCAATAACTGAAAGAGGGTTCGGAGTGGGGAAGAAAGATCAACAAGATGGGGAATGTAAAATGAGTATTCAAATTTGAATGGCCCATTGATTAGTGTAGTGAACTCACATTAGAAGGAAAGTATCCTCATAACATAGACTAAGGTGTAACCAAATTTTTGGGCTCTTACCCACACTTTTCGTCAGGAAAGTATTGGTGACATTCTAACTCACCAGGAAAATGAGCGAACCGTGCCAGCCTAGAGGAGGTAAAAACATCATTTATAAGAGACTGCCAAAAAAAGGAAACCAAGACTATGGGAGGATTCGGAGAGAAAAAGTTAAGGCCTTGGATTAGGAAATGAAAACCCGAAATTGAAATATTAGGACTCAACCACAATACTTAAAACACAAATCCAATTACACAATTTCTAAAATAGTATTCACAAAAGTAAGAAATGATAAGCAAAAAATCACAATACATCTATTCATAACAAGCTTGATCAAAACATGTCTACGGGTTGAGGACAATTAATGAAAAAATCTACCTATCAAATTTGAGATTGAAAAAAAAGAATTTTGATTGCATTGAAGAGGTTTATGACCCAGGATTTTTCAACCAAAGAACTCAAATGAACAAACAAGGCATAAGGATTTCATTCCAAAGATCCACAAAAAGAAAGTAACACCCACCATTGAGACAAATTTTGTCAGAGGGACAAAGACACTAAAGAAATAGAGGCAAACTAGAAAACATCCAAATGAATGACAAGAAGAACTCCCATTCAAAAAACTAGGATCTTTAACCTCATTTATCGATATTTAACCCAAAAAAAGTGAAACTGAAAGGTGAAAAATTTAAAACAGCACAGAAAAAGCCAAAAAGAAGGAATAAGAATTACTAAGGATGGCAATAGCTAATTGATGCCATGGAAAATGGCATCAAGCAGGAGAGGCATAAATAGGGTCATGAAAGAAACGCCAGCACAACATAACATTGTATCTCTAGCACCAAAGCAATCTACTACTTCAATCTGTGACCTAGACCATAGGTAGGGTTGCAACAATCAATGAGAACAATGCATTCCCTCTTCCCCTTTCCTCTAGCCAACGATATGTCTTTGTTGATTTGTGACAAGAAGTTAATAGTCATAGTACATACAAGATAGAGTTGGATGGTTGCAACCTCTTCTTCTCTTGGTAGGGACTGTATGCATTTCAATACGAACTCTGTATTAACTTTGTTTCTATAACCACAATTATTACTAATTATTTCTATTGTAGTCATTAGATTTTTCAGGCATTTAGGAGAATTTTTCACCTTTGTTTCCTTGAAGGGTAGAGAATGTGATGACACTCATGAAAACTTTTAATGTACATATGGCCACTTGGCTTAAGCATTATCTGTGTCCCTATTGTCACCAACTAACCTTGAATATAATTGGGAATAATATATAAGCTTATTAGTGTATTTTGTAGAAGGATAAATAGAAAAAAAACTTTTTAATTTAACCTTAAAGGAAATCCTTCCATTAAATTAAAATCTATATTATACTTAGTCATTATTAAGTCCTTTGGTGCAAAAAATAAAAACTAAAAACCATAAGAAAATCATATGAAAAATGTATCAAAAGTAAAAAAATATTAAAATTTATGCCTTACTTATCATAAGTTTTAACTACTTAAATATTAAAAGAAATGAAATCCATAAATTTGAAGTCGTAAAGCCATGTAAAAAATTTCAAGGAAAATACCCTTTTATTGAGTCAGTACTATTTTAAGGTTAAATTCATTGAGTAAATTTATAAGAAGCTTTTACCCATAATTAAGTCTGCAAAGAAAACAATTATCGTACAATCCCACCATTGTTAATATCAAATTATACATTTGAAATGAAATGCTTGTTTCCTGTAGCTAAACAATTATGAATACATATGAAAATGGAATATTTAGAAAAAAAAGGAAAATAATGAAACACGGATTATCTTTTTAAAACATGAATTCAACATAAAATATTAAAAAAAAATTAAAGGAAAAAAATAAAAAAATATTAAAGGGAATTTGCTTAAGCAGTTTTGAGATCACAAATCTGTAATTAATTTGACCATTTAAATTAAGCTTTGTTCATATTGCCTCTTTTTGGACCAACTTTAGAGAAAATGAAGTCAATAACCAAATTGGTTTATCAAAGGTGTTTGAGCTTGATTCATCATGTTTAACTAAGTAAAATAATTTCAAAGATTATTTCAGCTCTGTGGTCTAAGAGTGAATAGGTTGTTAGACCTAAGTTTAATGTCCCAAGGCTACAAGGGGGAGGGTGAATTGTATGGTTTAAAAACTTAACCTCTTATCTCTCTCTCGGGTCGGGTCGGGTCAACCCGGCAACCCGGCCGGGTCGGGTCCGGGTTGAAATGTCTGACCCGTTTTTATAAACGGGTCGGGTTCGGGTTGACCCGTTTAGATACGGGTCGGGTCGGGTTCGACCCGAACCCGGCGGGTTGACCCGAATTGACACCCCTAATTGAGAGCTTATGCTTCCAACTAAGAGGTCTTGGGTTCGAGTCTTTGTGTATGCATTGTGTGTGTGAATTTATCTTAAATGACCTATATGTCCAAAAAATAAAAAATAAAAACAGCTGGAGTGTCGAAGGAATATAAAATCTAAACAAAATATTATTTTAATGATAATATTGTAGAAGGGTAATATTAATGATAAAAAAATTGACATTCAATTATAAATATTAAATATAGTAATCTGAAAAAAAGAATTAGACTTACTATACAAAATCTATATATTTCTAAATAATTATTTTTTAATGTTTTCTTACCCCTAAAATTAAAATAACATTAATCTAAATTTTAACTATCATATTTACCTGAAATTTTTCCATAATTTCTGACACATGAGGAAATTAGTTGTGATAAATTATTATCAGCGGATACCGGATATAGAACTACATCCAAAATCTAATAAAAATATGACGTTTTGACTAGTATATTAATATGTATTTAGCTATGTATTGATGTGTATTAACTAATACATATCAATACACATTAATATATAGTAATACAAAATAATATAGAATTATATTATTGTGTATTGATATGTATTAGTCATATTATTATATACTATATATCTAATAATATATAATAATATTTAGTACATGGGTTATTTTTTTTATTGGACTTCAAACATAAGTTCTAGGTGGGGGTAGCCCGCACGTAATAATTTCGGACCTTCTAAGCGGTAACTTTAAGCCATTGAGTAGCCTTCGATATAAACACAGAAGCAGTACGTAGACAACAAAGTTGGCCTCTCTCCATCTCCATCTGTCACGCGGCCACTTTCTCCCTTCTTCTTCACCTATTTCCTCAAGTAGAAGCCATTAGCAGCAATGGAAATTAATGGTGAAGTTGCGAGAAGAAAGATTATTAGAGAGATGACGAGCCCCGACCGAGCTCGAACCAGCAACTTTACACAGCAGAAAGAGAAAGGAAGAAGCCTCGCCGCAGCTATGAGAAAGGTTCAAGTTGTTTACTATCTTAGCAGAAACGGCCAGCTCGAGCATCCTCACTTCATGGAAATCTCTCATTTTCCACATCAGCTCCTTCGTCTGAAAGGTAAAAAGATTCAATATTTGAGCAAAATTCATTCTTTTTCAACTCGGTTTTTATTGATTCATTTTTCTTCCCCTGTTCTTGGGTTAAAAGATGTGATTGATCGGCTCACAGTTCTTAGAGGAAAGGGAATGCCTTCTTTGTTCTCTTGGTCCTGCAAGAGGTAATCTTTAAAGAAAATTAACTTCTTTTTCAGTTAGTTGATGTTTTTTGACAAATTTAATTTGGAATAAAAATTAAAGGAGCTATAAGAATGGTTATGTATGGAATGATCTGTCGGAGAACGATTTGATTTATCCTGTGGATGGAGCTGAGTACGTTCTCAAAGGCTCGGAGATCATTCATGGCTGCACCCCTGCGAATATAGGTTTTTATTATTTTATCCACCACTCTCTTCGGTAAAATTTTTAAGATTATATATATTATTCAAATTATTTTTTCTCCCAGTAGAGCGATTTCAGCATTTGCAGCTAGGCAGCGAGAACGCGAGAGCAAGACGGGCCGTGGAAGCAGAGGATGAGGAAGAGGAAACAACCGGTGAGCATACCGAGCGTGACCCACATCTCATTAGATGCTCCCGTGGCGTATCAACGGATGAGATTGATCGAGGTAAGTTCATCAACGAGCCGCGGGCCCACCGCTCCCGACATACGGAGATTGCTCTCGATGACTCCTCACCGCCGTCGTCTTCCTCCTCCGACAAAGCTTCAGCCGGCGGTGGTGGAATCCGAACCGGTTGTGCATCCTTCCGGTTCGACGATGGTGAAACGACGCCCGAATCTGGCCAGAACCGCAACTCGATTCTTCTCCAACTTATCTCCTGCGGCTCCATTGCAGTCAAGAGCGGCCGGGCCGTCGGCGGCGGTTTTCTGAAGCCCGCCGCTACAGCTCAGGCAGCCCTATCCACTGCGGGGAGGAAATGTACGGCGGAAAAGTTGCATCGTATGTCGGAGAAGGAGTACTTTAGTGGCAGCATAGTGGAGGGGATGGAGGTGAACGGTCAGACGGCGGCGGCGGAGCCGGCATTGAAGAAATCGAGCTCATATAACGAAGAAAGGTGACGCCTTTAAATTTACCGGCGGCATTTCTGTGTTTGATTATTGAACTTTTCAGAAGCTGCAATTTATTGTAGTCTTCTTAATTGCAAAATTCTATCGACGTGGACGGCTTAAAAGGATCTAGGAGTATTAGTTGAGGATTGCTGGCTTTGAAGTAGGGACGGAATCAGTTTTAATTTGAGAGGTGAAAAATATAGCATAAAATTAATTAAATATTAAAAAAATAATATTTTATATTTATATATTATTAAATTTAAAAAAATAATAATAAAAAATAAAGAAAAAATATATAATTAAACTGTCATGAAAAAAAAGGGGGATTTACATACATACCAATTTAATTCATGCTATTTATATATCTAACATTCAAAACATTAATATTACATGCCTATTATCCATAAAACAAATTTGAATATATGGAATGAAATATTAAAGTTTATAGAATGATATGAATGATAGAAATGAATTGTAGGAGTCATATTAAAATTTTATATAGGTGATAATAATTTAATATTAATATTTTAGACGTTAGATATGTAAATAAATTGAAATAAAGTGGTATGTATATAAATTTTCCAATTAAACAAATGTGTTGCTTAAAATATATATACTTTTTTAAATTTTTAAAAAATTAAGTTTTTTTTTTAAAATAAAAAAAGCATTAAAATAAAATGTACTTTTTTAAAAATAAGATTTCATAAAGCTATACATAAATTTTCAATGAATTATTTTGTTCTTATGTGGCAGGGGAGCAAAACTTGGGATGGGGGAAGACAATGGGGAAGAGGTGAAGGGAAAGTGTATTCCTGGAAGGAAGCGCAGCTCAGCAAAACAGCAATAACAAGAGGGCATTGTTATTAATTAGGTTATTAGTCCTTTAATCCTAAGGGCATTTGTATAAATATTAGAAATTTATGGGAGTAGATTTTATTGGTGGGGTCAGTTGAAAGTTAATATGGCTATGTGGGGCCATTGTTGTACTTTGGAGTTGACTTTCTCTAGTACTGACTGTTTGGGTTGTCAGTTTGATATAGATTTGAGCCTGAAAAGTTTTGAAGCAACATTTATGATTTATAATTAGCTAATTATTTTATATATTTGCATCTAAAAAGAGCTTCATTGTTTTTTATTTGCATTAAAAAGTACATTGCAGTTGATTTAATGAGGAAGGTAAATAAATATTAATCAAAAGTATCATAGTTGCAAAAATGTTTAGGGGTTTGAAGAAAATTTAAAAATGAATTTAGTTTTTTAAGAAAACCGAATTTTATTTTGCGTTTTCTATGTAAAGTTTAATATTTCAACTGTGTTTTAATGTAATTTTTATAATTTACTAAATTTATATTTAAATTAATTTTTGAATAATGATTAACTATAACTTGATATCTACCTTTAATTTAGAGCTAGAAAAAAATATATTAATGGAAAGTTATTAAGAATAAGATTAACTTTTAAAAAGTCAAAATTATTGTTAAAACTTTTCACATTATGAGCTATATTTTTTTTTAATGTGCACTCAATTGTTTAAATTTATCATATTATTTAAGCTATATACCATTAATGTTCAATCAATTATTTAAGTGTGTCATATAATGTGATATGTATAATAATAATGTTTAATCAATCGTCAAAATATGTCATATTATGTGAGATATATAACAATAATATCTAATCAATTGTTAAAATTTGTCAAATTTTAGGAGTCATATCTATAGGGCAATATTTAAGAGAAGAAATAAATATAAGAATTACTACGGGATACATTTGCGCCTTGGGTGGCATTTCTATTAGTTAGCAGTTAAATTTTTAGAAGATAATAACATTATTTATAATAGAAATTGAATAAGCAGCCATCACTAGGATAGTAAGTAAATGATTTTGTAGAAAATTTTTATAGAATGATGAAATCAATTTCAAGAAAAAATTTATTTTATTTTGTGACAATAAAAGTAATGTTGCCGTAGCAAAGAATGTTGCCTATGTGCTCGAATAAAAAATAACTCATGCACTACTATATATGTATAGCCTGTTTAAAATATTTGCCTTATGACTCATCAAAATTAAAAAAAAAAAAAAATTAAAAATGTAGAAAAGCAAGATGATATACCCACAAAAATGACATCTATTGAAAATTGAGGCCTTGTAATACCTTAGTTAACTTCTATGAATTATTACATTAATGTGACAAAAGAAGTGTTCAAACATATCACTACGCTAATATTAAAAAATCATACTCAAAGTGAGGTTATTAAGTGTGAAGTCAAAATTTTCATCTATTGAAAATAGTTGATCACTTCAATAAAATTGATACATCATACAAAAATTATCTTGATATGGCACTAATCTCAAAGCAAAATCCAGTTGGAAAGTTTCGAAATCAAAATCAGGAACATCTGAATTCCGTTTTCAGCAAACTTAAAGTCGAACTAAGCGTCTCCGAAATACGAACCCAACGACACCAAATTAGACCCAATCTGAGCCCAAATGGGTCCAAATCAAGGACCCGAAGCGTTGTTGGAAGGTTCAAACCACAATTTGGATACCAAACAGATTCCAAACATAACAAGCTTATAGTCAAATCGAGCGGCTCAACGAGACGAATCCAACGAGTTCAAGATCACTGAATTACAACATCACTACTACATTCAAACGTCAATCGAACGGTTCATGGTCAAGGGATTCAAGATCGGCCGTCAATCCAACCACTCCCAACTAACCTTGATCCTTCACCTATTTACGGACCATGCCATTCCCAAAATTTATAAATAGAGCCCCCTCTCCTCTTGAAAAGGGACCCCGGAGCTTAAGGAAAAAAGAGAGAGATTGGAGATTGCTCTTGCTTCCTAGCCTCCTCGACCACCGCCGGACCACCACCGGAGTTATGTCGGACCACCACCTGATGCTCTGTGCTCCACCGGACCACCGCCTAACGCCGTCACTTCGCCGGACCACCACCTTACGCCCTCTGCTCCACCGGACCACCGTCTAACGTCGTCAATCCGTCGGACCACCACCTTACGCCCTGTGCTCCACCAGACCACCGTCTAACGTCGTCACTCCGCCAGACCACCACCTAACGCCCTATGCTCCACCGGACCACCGTCTAACGTCGTCACTCCGCCGGACTACCACCTGACACCCTGTGCTCCACCGGACCACCGTCTAACGTCGTCACTCCACTGGATCACCACCTGACGCTCTACGCTCTGCTAGTCTTTCACTTGAAGCTCTCATCTTTGCCAGACCAACATTGAAGATTCTCCCATTTGTCAGACCTTCATCTAAGGCCCGAAGTTCTACCTTATCATCATCTAAGGCCCGAAGTCCTGCCAGACCATTACTCGACACCCGGATTTTTATTGTACAATTGCTATTTGTAATCTGATCATCCTTAGAGACGAGTCAGCCCATTGTAACCAACTCAAGTTCTAGTGAAATCTTTGTAACTAGGCTAGGCCCCATGGTTTTTCCCCTTTCAAGGGTTTTCCACGTAAAAAATCTTGTGTTATCTATGTGTGAGCTGGATATCCGTATAACGCTAAGACGAATAATTAAAACTCTATCGTCGTATATATTCTAGTCCATAGTAGTTTGGCGCCGTCTGTGGGAAACGATAATCCCACTATCCTGAAGCATCACCACCATGGTCAACAGGCATAGTAATCGCATCCTTGGAGCCTCCCGTTCCAATTCACATCAGTCTCGGAATCAATCACTGAATAAAGGACACTAAGCATCTGTCTCTTTTCACCCCGGCGGTCGAAACTCTGTTGGAGAAGGAACTTCAAGACCATCCCTAGAAGATTGTATCAGAAAGATAAAGGACTCGTAGAATGAGATTCTTCAACTCCTACGAGAGACTCGAGGACCAGCACTAGCACCTCAAGAAGATATACTTCTTCCTCAAGACCCACCGCAATTTGAAGATGTTCTTCATGTCGAAGTTCCCCTTCCACCGCCAAGAATGCGCCCTCCAACACATCCAAAAAATGAACTTGCTGACACAGCAAGCTCTACACATCCTTCGTGGATAGGCCGCCAGCGTCACATTCCTTCGGATGCCCCCAAAGACTTAGCTCAGCGACACATCGCCGAACTCCCTCGTAATGCCCTACGGCATGAATTACGAAGACTAGTCCGAGAGGAATTCCCCATTAGAAATATAAGACAATCTCTCCATCAGAGAGATTTTCAGGAGTCATCACCCCTAACTGAAGCCGTCCTTCAACACCCTATTCCAGCAAGGTTCAAACTACCGAACATCGATGCATACGACTGAACATCTGACCCGTATGAACATATCGATCACTATAAGACCATAATGCATATCCAACAAGCCTCTGATGTGCTTTTATGCCAAGTCTTCCCAGCTACACTCAAAGGGCATGCTCGAACATGGTTCTATTCACTCCCCGCCGGATCTATCCCAATATTCGTCAAATTAGCCAAAATATTTGTCGAATATTTTGTTGTCAATCGGAGGATGGTCAAAGACTCTTTCCACCTCTCAGGAATTCGCTAGAATGAAAATTAGTCACTCAATGAATACTTTCAATGGTTTTCTACTGAGGCACGACAAATTCCAGGGGTAGATTCCGAGTTACTTAGAGGTGTATTTCTCGGAGGGCTTCGACCTGGTCCCTTCTACTCAGCACTCATGCAAGATACAGTCCATTCATATACGGACCTAATCCATCATGTAGAGGCCCAAATCTCTACCGACGAAGCCATTAACGCTCACAGAAAGCAGTTTGAACAAACAATCGGGAAACAAAAAAGTATATCAAGAACGGAGAATCCATCCTCACAGCGGAAGAAGTAAGGGAACTATAATCTTCCCCCTCAGCCCTCACAGCCACGACGAGAGCCTCGCCAAGAGAAGGAGTACACACCGCTTAATGTATCCCGTGCAAATGTTTTGATGGCTATCCGAGACTAGGAGAGCGTAAAGTGCCACATCCTTTGAAATCCAATGTCGAAAACTAGGAGCAAAATTCTCACTTCCACCGGAGCTGTGGACATACTACCAAAGCATGCAGAGAGCTCATGGAAGAAA